AAAATAATAGTTAATATACCCTCATACACTGGTGGTGAGACTGAAAATTGGTGCAGCCACTGTGGAAAATAGTATGGACATTTCTAAAAAACAAAAAATTAAGAATAGTACCACCATACGACCCAGCTATTCTACTTCTAGGTATTTATCCAAAGAACATGAAAACACTAACTCAAAAAGATATATGCACCCTTATGTTAATTGAAGCATTATATACAATAGCCAAGAAATGGACACAACCTAAGTGTCCATCAATGAAGGAATGGATAAAGAAGACTTTACACATAGATAGATCGATCGATCATCCATAAAAAAATGAATGAAATCCTGCCATTTCTGATAACATGGATGGACCTTGAGGTTATTATGCTAAGTGAAATAAGTTGAATAGAGAAAGACAAATACCATATGATTTCACTCAAATGTGAACTCTAAAGCAAAACGAAATTCCCCCCCAAAAAATGAACAAACAAAATAAAACAAAAACATAGATACAGAGAACAGATCAGTGGTTACCAGAGGGCAAGGGGGTTGGGAGGTGGGCAAAATGGGTGAAGGGAGTGAACTATATGGTGATGGACAGTAAGCAGACTCGTGGTGGTGATCACTCTGTAGTGTATGCCAGTGTTGAACTATAATGCTATATACTTGAAACATAAAAAAAATAGCTAATATGGTATTTATCATTTGTGAACTAGGCACAGTGCCAAGTATTTTACACATGCCATCTCATTTAAGCCTCATAACAATCCTACAATAGGCAGGTACTATTAACAGTACTATGCCCATTTTATAGATAAGGAAACTGAGTCTTATAAGAGTTAAGGGACTTGCCCAGTATCACACACCTAGCTAGCAGTAAACTAGGGATCTGAGTCTCCATTTTATCTGAACCCAGAGCCCAAATTTACCATTCTTCTTCCTCAAGAAGATATCTTGCTGTTTGTTTATTTGTTTTTTAAATAGTTATAAACCTGCAAAAAAGTTTCAAGAATAGTATGAACTCTTGCAACCCCTTCATCCAGGTGTCTCAATAGTCTCCGTCACCCTCTCTTCATGAAACTTCTATGCCCCACCCTGATTCCTTGAACACCGTGAGGGTGACCAACCCATCCTGGTTTGGCCAGGACTGGTCCAGTTTTAAAAGTAAAAATCCTAGGGGAAATGGCATAGTTCAATGGTAGGATGCGTGTTCAGCATGCACAAAGTCCTGGGTTCAATTCCCAGTACCTTCATTTAAATCAATCAATCAGTCAAATTACCTCCCCCCTTTAAAAAAATAAAAGTCCTACATCCTGGCAACTCTGCCCTCTTCCAGGCAAATCCTAACACCAGACATGTTGCTGGGTAGCTACACACCCTCAATTTGCCCCCAGCTGCTTGGCTGCGGGGTGCTGACATCTCCCCTTGGAGAGGGAATATGGGAAGAAAAGCATGATAAGAAGGGAAGCTTGTAGTAATTATTAATTAATGAAATGGCCTGAAGGCTGTCAAAAAGCCTGAAAGGTACTAGAGTGCTTAACTTTAAGTCAAGGAAAAATTGGCATATGAGATGGTACCAGATTTAGTAATATCATAAGAATAAGTGAAATTCTAGCAAACACTTTTGCAAAGATGATTGATGTATTACAGAGCATCATGTAAGAGTTGTTTGCTCTGTATTTTCAATAACTATTCAGTAAGGAGTATCTGTTTTATGCTGACAAAATACAGCAGTAGCTGGCTATACCTTTCTCGTCCTTCTTCAGGAGAGTTTAAAGTATTTTCTCTTACATCCTCCCAGCATTCTTGTTCTTCAGGTAAGTCATAAAGTCTTTCCTTCTGAAAGCTGGACTCCCCCACTGACTACTATAGGAAAATAGTTACACCGGAAAAAAATGCATCGAGATATTACTGTTATGCATCCTAAAGATGAAGATTTTTTTCATAAAGGGTCTCTGAGAATCACATAAACATAAATAACTTTGAATTCAGTTAATTTATGTGAATTTTTTTTAAAAAAGCAAATGCAGTGCAATTCAATTATGAACACAGGTTAAACTTTATTCAGTAAGTATTTTCCTAAACTGAAAATAGACTTGCCCTATGATCGAGCAATTCCACACCTGGGCGTATATCCGGAGGAAACTCATGCACCTAATGTTCATAGAAGCACTATTTACAACAGCCAAGACACAGAGGTAACCTAAATGTCCATCAACAGATGACTAGATAAAGAATATATGGTATAATGGAATATTAGTCAGCCATAAAAAATAATAAAATAATGCCATTTGCAGCAACATGGTTGGGCCTGGAGATCATCATAGTAAGTGAAGTAAGCCAGAAAGAGAAAGAAAAATATCATATGATATCACTTATATGTGGAATCCTATTTTAAAAAAGGACAAAAATGAACTTATTTACAGAATAGAGACAAACTCTCAGACACAAAAAAGAAACTTATGGTTACAGGGCAGGGTG